ATCAAAATGACTTTAGGAAGAGTACATACATTGCAAGCTGCCAGGGTTTTTTTTTTTTTTTTTTTTTTTGGCATTGCTGGTATGGGGATCTAAACCCTCGACGCTGGTGTTATAACACTGTACTCTAACCAGCTGAGCAAACCGGTCAGCCCTGACAGATGTTTACAAGAAAAATTTTTTAAAAAGGCACAGTAAAAAGACTTATCACTCCAGGGGCTGGCCAGTTAGTTAGTTGGTTAGAATGTGGCGTTGTAATACCAAGGTCAATGGTTTAGATCCCCGTACATGCCAGCCATAAACAAACACAAAAAGATAGCTAATTCTGAATACAACTCAAATGCCCTTCCACTTGTGAATAGGTAAACAAACTATGGGATGGAATACTATTCAGCAATAAAAAGGAATAAGCTATTGATAAATGCAAGAAAATGGATTACTCTCAAATACGTTATGCTAAATCAAAGAAGCCAGACTCAACGGCTGTACACTATTTAATTACATGTATATGATGTTCTGGAAAAGACAAAACTATATGGACAGAAAGCAGATTAACGGTTTCCAGAGGCTGGGGTTAAAGGAAGGGGACACAAGGGAACTTCTCAGGATGATGGCATGTTCTGTATCTTGGCTGTGGTGGTGGTTATATGACTGTATGTGTTTATCGAAATTCAAAGAACTATATGTATAACCAAAAGGGTGACTTTTACTACATATAAATTATACTTTAAAAAAAACCTGACCAAAAAAAAGCATTTATACCATAATTCTATTATTTGCAGAACTGTTTGTTACACTAGCCTTCATAATATTAAACAAAACAAAACAAAATCCTTCAAGAATGATATTAATTTTATTTGATTCCATTCAGGCTATGAGTGTTAAGAAAAGTAAATTCCTATTTGGGAATTCTCTCATATCTTGGAGCAGTGTGAATTAAAAACAGAATGTCCACTTTGTCATCTCCACATTTTATGAGGGGAAAAAACCCTCCAAATCATGTACGATATCTGTGATAATTCATTTTTTATATTGACAAAGAATATAGTGGATATGAATTAAAAGAAAAAAACTGTTAAGGAAAAATTAGGTACTTCTCCAAAGTCTTGCCCCTCCACTGGCCTTGACAAAGTACTTGCTAAGGGAGTCTAGTGAACACAAAGTCTCTTGACAGCAGGAGCAATCTAGCAGGAGACAGTGCTGAGAAAGTAATATTCTTGCACTGCACTGTCAGAGTTTTAAAAACTACATAGTGATAATTAATAACATAACAACAATTAATTTTAAAATAAAGTTTCAGATTTACTGATATGTTTCTGAAGTTCTCTCATGATGCCCTTGCAGAGCACTCATTTTAACGCCAACTATTGTACCAAACTGTGCTGTGGAACCCTCTAGCAGTCGCCCATCTCAGCCACCTATGGGTCTATGTGTGTGTTTGTTGGGGAGGGGAGTGGGCTAGGGGAGAGGGGGGTTGGCTCTGGCTATGGTTTTTTTTTCTTCTTTTTAAAAATTTTGTCAATATACAACGTAGCTGATTTTCACATCCCTTTACCAATCCCTCCTTTCCATCCTCCCTCTTCCCCATCGCATCATATCTGTTCACTTGTCTTAACAAGTTCATATAGCCCTTTAAGATCTAATAAAAACTGCTTTCTAAAAAGCAGTTAGTGACACAAAGAAATAGTTTCTGTATAAGGGAAAGCTAAGCAAAAGCTTTAGTTTATAACCCTAACAGAGGGAATGAATAACAGCCTTTCCCTGCTTACCATAAAGAAAACATAGATTGAAAACGTACTCTGGCTTTTTCAAAGGCTGCCCTTAAATATGTTCACACAGGATGATGTTCATACGTTTGTGCTGATGGACAGAAGTGGGGAGCAGTGAAGATGAACACCACCCTGTGCTCTTACTTTCCAAACGGGCTGCCCCTGCAGAGCAGTGGCACCACTTGAAGCCACGGGACACTAGTCAGCTTGCTGGTGGTCCACAAAAGGCTGCCCCACTCTCCACCCCCTCCTCCCTTGTTATTAACAAAGACCTGCTTGGCCAAGCCAGAGGAAGAGTTGGTCTTCTTGATCTCTGAGGAAATGGTGCAGGAAGCACATGTTGTGTCTGTGTCTCAGGGGATCTCCAGTGCCAGCACAGTGCCTGGCCCTTGCAAGATCTCAGTGTGAACTTGCAGAGTGTAAGCAGACAGGTGGGTAAAAATACTGCCAGGGTCATCAGTGGGTGTTGTCATCTTAACGCTGGCCAAATATTTTGAGTACAAGATAAAGAAGCACTGATACCCCATATTATGCTCTTTAGAAATAATATGCCCCCTTAATTAAATGAAATTCCCTTGACAAAAGGACACCTTTGTATTTTTAAGACTTAGTTCCTTTCCCATGAACACACGGTTAACATGAGAGCCTGTGACAGTACTGTCCTATGATTTCGGTTGATGCTGTGGGTCTGCTTGCATTCAGGAATGAGAATTAACTACTCTTTCCACTGCAGATTCAGAGCACATTTTTTATCAGGAGATCAGTTCTTACTGAACACAAGAAGTATCCATCTGGAAGAAAGATGGAAGGTAAAGGTGGTATTGATCAAGTTCTCCACTGAAGACAGCAAAAGCCTGGCGCTTTAACAGCATGGCTTTCTGCTCAAAACTGGAGAACAGTTTTAAAGAACTGCTCTGCATGTCTAGAATAAATATAGCAAATAAGTTACACTTAGTGAGAAAGCCACGATTAGAGGTAAGTGATAAGATGTTCATGCTAGTGTAATTCCTGTCTTCCCTGGTGAAAAATCATGGTCTTGATTAAGTAAGGGCATGTGATTATTATTCCCATGTGTATTTTTAAAAATACTAATTTCTTGGGCCGGCCCGTGGCTCACTCGGGAGAGTGCGGTGCTGATAACACCAAGGCCCCGGGTTCGGATCCCATATAGGGATGGCCGGTTCGCTCACTGGGTGAGCGTGGTGCTGACAACACCAAGTCAAGGGTTAAGATCCCCTTACCGGTCATCTTTAAAAAAAAAAAAAAATAAAAATACTAATTTCTTTAATGATACTTAATGATAGGGCATTAAAGAATATATGAGGTATAGAAAAGTACTTGTAATAAATTATGGAAAACTTATTACTTTCAACACAAATGTCAGCATGTGAACCTAGCTGCTTTCAGCAGTATTTCTCTATAATAAAGCTGTAAAAAAGGCTGTCAAGGCATTCTTGTCAGTAGACTGCAACTGGGAAGACTCTTTCATTTAGTCCTGACGTTGTGTACATCACATTACAGTCTGCAGCTTAGGGAGCACCATAAAAGGTTTGAGGAGGGTTCTGAAATACGTGGTAGAAGCTGATTAAGATGGCATTGGCCTTTTCAAGTGTGACTTACGTGCAAGTAACATAGAACTTACTCATTAAATCTTTAAACATGGTTTTCTCATGAGTCAGAAGATGGTCAATAATGGACTTCCAACTGGATATTACAAAAAGCAAAATTAGTTAAATATGCAATGCATGATAGTCTGACTAAAACATTAAGGAAATAATATAGCCCTTTAAGATCTAATAAAAACTGCTTTCTAAAAAGCAGTTAGTGACACAAAGAAATAGTTTCTGTATAAGGGAAAGCTAAGCAAAAGCTTTAGTTTATAACCCTAACAGAGGGAATGAATAACGGCCTTTCCCTGCTTACCATAAAGAAAACATAGATTGAAAACGTACTCTGGCTTTTTCAAAGGCTGCCCTTAAATATGTTCACACAGGATGATGTTCATACGTTTGTGCTGATGGACAGAAGTGGGGAGCAGTGAAGATGAACACCACCCTGTGCTCTTACTTTCCAAACGGGCTGCCCCTGCAGAGCAGTGGCACCACTTGAAGCCACGGGACACTAGTCAGCTTGCTGGTGGTCCACAAAAGGCTGCCCCACTCTCCACCCCCTCCTCCCTTGTTATTAACAAAGACCTGCTTGGCCAAGCCAGAGGAAGAGTTGGTCTTCTTGATCTCTGAGGAAATGGTGCAGGAAGCACATGTTGTGTCTGTGTCTCAGGGGATCTCCAGTGCCAGCACAGTGCCTGGCCCTTGCAAGATCTCAGTGTGAACTTGCAGAGTGTAAGCAGACAGGTGGGTAAAAATACTGCCAGGGTCATCAGTGGGTGTTGTCATCTTAACGCTGGCCAAATATTTTGAGTACAAGATAAAGAAGCACTGATACCCCATATTATGCTCTTTAGAAATAATATGCCCCCTTAATTAAATGAAATTCCCTTGACAAAAGGGCACCTTTGTATTTTTAAGACTTAGTTCCTTTCCCATGAACACACGGTTAACATGAGAGCCTGTGACAGTACTGTCCTATGATTTCGGTTGATGCTGTGGGTCTGCTTGCATTCAGGAATGAGAATTAACTACTCTTTCCACTGCAGATTCAGAGCACATTTTTTATCAGGAGATCAGTTCTTACTGAACACAAGAAGTATCCATCTGGAAGAAAGCAGGGTCCAAAAACAACTCCAGCACTTCTTTTTTCCAGGCTCGTTTTGTGTAGGCATAGCCGCTCAGGGCACTCAGTAGCTGGGCGCCGGCCCGGAAGCTGGGGGCGTTGTAGGCGCTACATGGGGGTGGGAAAACAGAAGCGTCAGGGTCAAAGGCTGTACAAGCAAAACCACATGATTCAATTCTCAAAACATATTTTTCTGCGCAGCATGGGATGAAATGGAGAGGATGACATTACCTGTGATTGCGTAAGTAAGGAAAAACGTAATAAAGCAGACGGGAGATTAATGGCACTGCTTTCTCCTTCTCATCACTTCGGTAAACCATGTCCAGGAGAGAAGCCAGCACCTGAAAGAAAAACACTGTAAGGAAACAGAACCCAGTGAAGCGAATGACAGTACGAATGACAGTACGAACTGTAGTCCTCAAAGCATAACCAACAGAGAAAACTCCACGGCGCACCTTGGGGATGTCTGAGCTCACCTGGGAGGTGCAGCCCACACCAAGTGGCACCTGAGAATGAGTGAACACCTTCACAGCCATTCAGGACAGCATGAGGAATGGCGAGTCAGGTGTGCACTTACCTCTGCCAGGAGAAAGAGGGCTTGCACGCTGTACACCGAAGGGGTAGATGCTGACACCATTGCTGAGGTTCCAGCAGCATCTGGACAGAGAGAGGCTTTCACTGTGGCAGACAGGTCACCATTTACTACCCCCAAAACATCACATGAACGTGAGTCACGAGCTCCTGCCTTTCATACTGATTGTGAATACATATCTCAGGTATGCTTCTCTGTTCACATTCAATGTCAGCAACTCCAGATATTCTGATAAAATAAATTAGCACCGACTCACTATCTCCCTCCCTGTTTCTATTCTTATCATTTCTGGAACTTCAGTATCCCCTTAGATGATCTAACATCCTGGCCTCTATGCCCCTTGACCTCTTCTCTTCCAACAATTTTTCATTCTGCTTCAGCTTAGCCACTAATTCTCACCGCCACACTCTTGACCTAACTAACTTTCAAAACCAACATGTCAAAAATCTCGGTTTCCAGCATCCTACTCTGACTACTATTTAGGCATTTTCCTGAATCTGTGTACAGGCGTCCAATCCCCTGAGTCTATCACCTTAATATCCAGCAGCTCCCGAGGCCCTTCACTCCCCCCACCTCCCCACCCACCCCATGGTCTACCATCTACCTGGCAAACGCCTTAACTCTTTTTGTTTCTCTCTCCCTCCAATGCCCTCCCCTAGAAAAACACAGTGCTGGCTAAACCCAATGATCTGTCTATGCAGTTCTGTGTACTTAAACGTTTTGAAGAAAACTATACCACTATGCAACTGATCT